GCCTCTTCCCGGCCGCCCGCCGGCAGCCTCTAGGGCGCAGCGAGGGGGAGCTGCCTGGCTGCCCAGGACCCGGGGAAGGGGCGGGTGGCGCGAAGCCGCCTTAACCACAGCCGCCGAGCAGAGGCAGGAGGCTGACCCGGCCGCTTCCTAAGTGCGGTCAGGCATCTTGTGACCGCGGCGGGCGCCGAGGGCCCCGCGGGGGGAGGCAGGGCGGACGGGGCCCGAGGGCCGGGCGGGCTGGGGCAGGGAGCAAACAGGGAGTCCTTCCCCACCCCGCCCCACCTCTCCTCTGGGCTGTTGAAAGCGAGGCTTTTGGCCACTGTAAAACCCCACACCCCAAACTGGGGACAGGGTGGGCTGATGATTCCCCCCCACACTCCAGGGCGTGTGCACCCCGCCCGGAAGGGCTGACCTTGGCGGGTAAGCGCCGGGGCCCGGGCTCCCAACCCACCGCCCCTTCGGATTCCTGGCCCCGCGGGGCCGAAGGAGGGGGCCCCCGGACACACACACACCCCACACGCAGCGCGCGCCAATGAGCCCGGGCCGGGCGCAGGGGGCGGGGTTTTCCCAGGCTCTAGCACAGCAGCTGCTATTTACCTTCTTGGCTTCTCCCGGGGACTAGGAACCGGCCCCCGCGCTCCGCCGCCCGCCGCCGTCCCCCCCCACCCCGCCTCCCTGCCCCCGGGGCGCGCGCACACACACTCACACACGCACGCACACACACATCCTCCCCGGCTCGGCCGCAGCCGCGGCGGCAATAAAACATCCTGGCACGTGCTCCGGCTCCAGGCGCGCCCTCGCCGGCCGGCTGATGTCAAACTGCAGCTCGGCTGGTGTACCTCTTAAAGGGCCCGTGCGCGCGCGCCGCCGGGACCCGAAGCTGTGTTGGCTGCCCGCGGGGTGAGAAGGGGCGAGGCTGCCTCCTTTACCCGCCACCTCCACGAACAACGGAACACAAGACCCTACGGGTGGAAAGGGAAAAAGCAGCCAGCGCAGGAGCGCGCGCGCGTGTCCCTGTGGCATTGCCATCAAAGCTCCCCTTGTTCGTTTTTTTTTTTCCATTTGAAATTCCATTTCCTTTCTACCCAGTTTGAAATGCATTCTGATTGTTTCCTAAGGAAGCTGGAGGTCCAAGGTTCCAACGCTAGAAGACGACTGAGGGGACACGGTTGGGAAGGGAGGCATTCAACAACCATCTTGCGTCCCCAAAACCTGCAAATATAAGGGGAAGACATCTCGCTCTCAGGAAAAAGGGGGGGGGAATTTTAAAACAATGTCTTCTGCATGATCTATTCTCATTCACTGAATAGATAAAACTGGAGCAGCAAATCACTTCCATGTTTTGCGCTATTCTTTAAACACTCCAAATTGTCTTTTTTTTCTATGCCTTTTCTAATTATATCTCAACTTATTACAAAACACCCCTGCTACACATAGTAATAGAATTAAGAGCAAAGATCCTGCACCCCAAAAATTTCTCCACCTGAAGTGGAGAAATCCTCTCCAAAGCAAAGCCCAGAGGGGGTGAGAAGTAAAGGGTTAAAATCCTTTTGATTGACGTTGTAGCCTCCGGTGCCCTGGGCTCAGGCGCGCGCCATTGGCCGCCAGACCTTGTGCCTGGCGGCCAATAGGGGGGCGCGGTCCACGAGCGGTGCCGCGTGTCTCCTCCTCCCATTGGCTGAAAGTTACTGTGGGAAAGAAAGTTTGGGAAGTTTCACACGAGCCGTTCGCGTGCAGTCCCAGATATATATAGAGGCCGCCAGGGCTTGGGGATCACACAGGATCCGGAGCTGGTGCTGATAACAGCGGAATCCCCAGTCTACCTCTCTCCGTGGTCCTGGAATAGCGCTACCGACCACAAGTCATCATAAAATACAATAAACCCTCAGCACTTGCTCAGTAGTTTTTATGAAAATCTCAAGTAAAAAGAACGCAAGCAAAAATTTTATTTTTCGCGAAGGACTTCCAAAATAAAATTCTCTAGTAATCTAGTAGGGGATTTAAAAAAAAAAAGGAAAATGCCAGCTGATATAATGGAGAAAAATTCCTCTTCCCCGGTGGCTGCTACCCCAGCCAGTGTCAACACGACACCGGATAAACCAAAGACAGCATCTGAGCATCGAAAGGTAAGGGCAATACCTGTCTGCCTCTGCAGCCCTAAGAAATTAAGTCGGATTAGGGGTGGGGTACAGCAGGGCTTCTTTTTCGCTTAAATCTCCGGGGTGACATGGCATATCTCCTGAGAACACGGGCCTTTTTATAATTATCATTATTATTTTTTTTGCAGTCATCAAAGCCTATCATGGAGAAAAGACGACGAGCAAGAATAAATGAAAGTCTGAGCCAGCTGAAAACACTGATTTTGGATGCTCTTAAAAAAGACGTAAGTGAGGGATGGTGCTTTTTTTAAAAAAAATTAAAGATAAATGTTATTTCTCAGTCACAAAGAATGAACCCCTCGCCTGCAGTGCGTGGATCTTATCCCCACCAGCCCTGCGCTGTCCTAGGAGGGAGGGCTAGTCTGTCTGGCTTCCTGGGAGGTGGGCCTGTGGCCCGCGTAAGGAATCCCCCGCCACCCCCCGCACTCGTGCGACTGACTGGGGTCTCACGTTCCCCGCTTGCTTCCTCCCCTACGCAGAGCTCCCGGCATTCCAAGCTGGAGAAGGCAGACATTCTGGAAATGACAGTCAAGCACCTCCGGAACCTGCAGCGGGCGCAGATGACGGGTAAGGGCGGCACGCGCGTCCCCTTCTGCCGGCGTCCCTCTCGCCCCGCGGTGATTTCTTCCAGACTTCCGCCGCAGTTGTGAGAGGCATTGAGCTACATTTTACTGCCTTGGCTCCCTCTCGAGTTCCCACGGTCTGGGTCTTATTTATAGCCATAACTCCAAGTTGTTACTGTTCCGGAAAAGGAGGGGAGGGAGAGAGGTTGTAGCCGCAAGGGTGGAGGGTGGCTTGGCTGTGGGGGAAATTGATGGGGTGGGGAGGGCCCCGGTGTAGGATGGCGGCGGGTTTGAGCCGGGTGGAGGTTAATAGTCATCTGGCTTAGCAGTCACACACCGCCGCCCCCTACTGCAGGAAGGGAAATGAGAGTCGGATGCCGGGGTGGGTGGCATTGCCCAAGGTCACATCGCGCGCGTGGGTGGGGGTGGCCGGTTTGGAGCTGAGATCAGTTTAAAGAGAACCTTCGAGAATGGGGAGGGAGTGTCCGCCTCGGCGGCCTCTCTTCGTGGGGAGAGGTTTCTGAAGCTACCCCACCCTTCTAGCCGGAGGTAGTTCCGCAGGCGCGCGGTCAGGGAGGCGCGCGGCGGGGACCTCCCAGGGCGGGAGGCTGTGGCCACTGGGCCAGCGCCGTTCGGTGACCTGTGTTTGTCCTTCTGGCCTGCAGCCGCGCTGAGCACAGACCCCAGCGTGCTGGGCAAATACCGAGCCGGCTTCAGCGAGTGCATGAATGAGGTGACCCGCTTCCTGTCCACGTGCGAGGGCGTTAACACCGAGGTGCGCACTCGTCTGCTCGGCCACCTGGCCAACTGCATGACCCAGATCAACGCCATGACCTACCCCGGACAGCCGCACCCCGCCTTGCAGGCACCGCCGCCGCCGCCGCCAGGACCCGGCGGTCCCCAGCACGCGCCGTTCGCGCCACCGCCGCTCGTGCCCATCCCCGGAGGCGCGGCGCCCCCTCCCGGCAGCGCCCCCTGCAAGCTGGGCAGCCAGGCTGGTGAAGCCGCCAAGGTGTTCGGCGGCTTCCAGGTGGTGCCAGCTCCTGATGGCCAATTTGCCTTTCTCATCCCCAACGGGGCCTTTGCGCACAGCAGTCCGGTCATCCCTGTGTACACCAGCAACAGCGGGACCTCCGTAGGCCCCAACCCTGTGTCTCCTTCCAGCGGCCCCTCGCTCACTGCGGACTCCATGTGGAGGCCCTGGAGGAACTGAGAGATTTAGGCCCCCAAACTCCCCAACCCACATCTTCCCTTCGGACACTAAAACAAGAACTTGGCTACTAGAAGAGACTTTTGTGATTAAGCTGATTACTTTCTAAAAAGTTACTTTTTTTGTAGAGAGCTGTATTAAGTGGCTGACCATGCACTATATTTGTATATATTTTATATGTTCATATTGGATTGCGCCTTTGTATTATAAAAGTTGAGATGACATTTCGTTTTTTACACGAGATTTCTTTTTTATGTGATGCCAAAGATGTTTGAAAAAAATGCTCTTAAAATATCTTCCTTTGGGGAAGTTTATTTGAGAAAATATAATAAAAGAAAACAGTGAAGGCTTCTTCATGAATTAAAATTGATTATTTCATAATAGGCAATGAGAGATTCTTGGTATAATATAAATGACATGTATCCTGGGGATTCAGAAATTAGTTTTTTTTTTTAACCCATCAAATCTTTAACCAATATTCCATGAACTAAAAAAAAATTGTACCCAGTTAAACCCCTTAAATAGCTTGCTTAAATACTTGTTATTGTCTAAAGGATTTCAAAAAATTGTTCATAGTTCTTTAGTCCTTATCCCCATTGCTGGTACTGGGGCTTGAACTCTGGGCCTAGGTATATACCTTAGCATTTTTTGCTCCTGAATGGCACTCTACCACTTGAGCCAAAACTCCACCTTTAAGTTGGAGATAAAGTCTCACTGACTTTTCTGCCTGATGTGGCTTCAAATCATGATTCTCAGATCTCAGCCTCCTGAGCAGCTGAGGGCTGAACTTAAGTTCATAGAGAGACTCTCATTGCCCACTAAGGGCATCTCCTGCAGCACTGCTCCTTAACATAACCACCAACGTCCAGAGTAAGAATAGATTCAACTCCAGCAGCCTAAAAGTGGGGTCTTCATTAATTAGTCTATCCTTAGGTTCAGCTACATATTCCCTAGCAGCAGCATCTCAAAGTTTGAAATGCCTCTGTGCACACTCTTCAAGCAAGCTGCAAAGGTCAACAGATTCCTTCTGCCAAGGGACAGCTTGTTAGACTCCCAAGTGGAGCCCCAGCCCAGATGATTAACACCAGACATGTGTTTCTGATAAGTTTCTGTGCTTGGCTCTAATAGAGAAAACATGTGGGGGCTGTGCTGGCAGGCACACAGGCCATCTTCCCCTTTTAATACAAACAGTAAGCGACCCCTTAGCTTGGTCATGCCCCATTTCCAGGCAAGATGTGGGCTCCAGATAGAAGCAAAAGGGTTGTCTCGGGTTTCAGCTCACATAACCCTCCTTAACAAGTCCTAACTCAAAGCGGACAGCTTTAAACTGTGCCAGGATCTGCAGGGAATTTCTTCCAAATCCCATCACAAAGGCTTGTCAGATTTTGTCAGATTTGGCCAGGTGTTTGACTGCATCCAGGTGTTGGGGAAATGAAAACCACGAGCCCTGCGAGACCAGACACATCAGCCTCGCTGTGGGTCTGGCCGGCGTGCCCTCCTCCCCCACAGCCGGCCAGTTCTCCTCTCCCACCCACCACTCTCACCCTCCCCCCCCCCCAGGCTTCTGGGAGGAGAAGGATGAGGCGGGAGAGATCAATCTTTGAAGCTTTCCTAACAAAGATAAAGCCAACGATTTTCTGTCTTGTTTCAAAAGCTTTACTTCTCCCCCGCCTGGCTGGGGCCTTTCCCACAGGCCAGCGTTGAGAGCAGCTATCATAGGAATGATCTAGCAGACAGAAGCCGGTTTTCTCTCCTATACTTTGGGCTTCCGCCTCAGAGGGCAAGGTTTAAAAGATACTGTTAAAAATGAATTTGGCTCCTATTGCTTTATTTTGTGTGCCTGAAAGGTGCCCAGCACACCTTTCACCGAAGAAATACACACACACACACACACACACACACCCTTCTTTATCCTATGGTTTTCCCTTTTGCTTAAATACAAATTTTGTAAGAACTGCCTGTCCTTGATCCCTACTAGACCTTCTCAATACTGTCTTAATAGGAAAAAATCCACACATCAGGATCAATAATTTTACAAATAAGTGTCCTTATAACATTTTCATACATGCATCTCCTATTAACTCCCTCCTGATCCCCTCATCCTCCTACGTTCTCTTGGTCTCAACTTTAGAAAAGTAATTCTTTTCCAGTACATTAAAAAAAAGTACATAGATGTTATCTTCTTGGGGAAGGGTGATAGAGTTTAGGAAAGTAAGTCATTTGTTCTTCTGAGAGAAAAAAAACGTGATATATTACCTGTCCCCCACCCCGAAATTTAGTCGTTTTTGTCTAATAGAGGAGAGGGGAGGGGAGACCCTAGGTCCTGGATGGCGACTTTTAGGTTCCAGTGAGCCATTACACTCATTGTGTCCCCTTGGATAAATCATTTCCTTCTCTGGGACACTTCCAAGTGTATGAAAGTGAATGGACTTATTTCTAAGGCGCCGCCAGCTCTGGCAGCTGGCTGTTTGTGAAGTAGCTGGGGGAGAGGTGAAGTGTCGCAGACGACTTTACCAGGTCCTCCCCGGAGGTCCTTTGGCCTAATTATCCCGCCTGGGGGGCACTCGGGGCCGTCCTCCCGTCCCCCCCAGCAGTTTCTGATCCTTCTGGGAGATAAGGTATTTCCAAGCTTTGTATCCGGATGTGGGCCTTGGGCCCTTTAACCTCCCCAGGGAGACCCTGGAGGGGAGGGGGGGAGAAGGGTACCCCCCCACACACCTCCTGCACCTGGACGTGTCTCCTGACACCTCAGGAACCAGGAAGGCTAGGCATGAGAGGTGAGGGTCTCCCCAAACGCCAAGGGATACCCCCCCACCCCGCCCCCATACAAGCCAGGCCAAGGCTTGCTCCCCTCCTCCCGCCCGATCCCGTCCCGTCCCACCCGACGTGTTTCGGCCGAGGGGACCCCAGGGTTTAAATGGACCCCCTCCGCGTCGCCACTGTCCCGGGGAACCTGTCATTAAAGTCAATTAACTTTTCCCACACCCCCCGGCCGGCAACAGCCCGCTGCAAGCTTCCTCCCGGCTCCTAAGTGCAACCAGATGGGCGGATGAGTGGCCCCCGCCGCGCGCCCGCCGGGGGCGGCTCGGAGTTCCCGGGAGGCCCGCG